AAATTGGCTTACAACAGCGTCTAAGGTTTATTAAATGAAAACTAGCAGACTGAAGAATCTGCAGCGATGGGCTGCTGGCGCCCTGCACCTGCCGTTGCCACGCAGCCTTAATGTCCACAAAGCTTGACCTCGGCAAACCCCGGGGCTGAGTTAGCGAGCCAAGCCTTGACTCATCAAGACGGCCGCACACCAACCGCTGTCCTCGCGAGGCACAGCTCCTTGTGCCCCTACCCTAGGGCGCGGGAAGGGGTCTGAGGGCGCCGTGGCAGCACCCCTAGCGGCAGGCAGGGGGTGCGGAGCTCCCCTGTCTGATTATTATTTGACGGTTATCTGCTGCTCCCGCTCTGCATAATTGTCTAATATGTAGCAATAAATTCCACCATTGTTGGTAAAATGGATATTTTGGCCTGCCCCCGAATGGTTTTTTTCTGTAGCCCCGGACAATTTACTCAATAATATGAATACATTAACGTGCCTTTACGTGAACCTCATCAAGACACTAAGAAACGGACGGCAGGACTGTAATTATCCCGTGTTCAGTGAATGCAACAGAGGCAAGGCACCAGACCAATCAGAGAGTTGGATGGAAATAAAAGTGTGCTTGGTCATTCAAAGCTCGCGCTCGTGTTGTGTGCCGAAATAGCGCATTTAGTCGTGTGTGAGAGAGGGGAGAGAGGGACCGTGCCAGCAGCAGGGCCGTGTTGTGTAGCATCCTGGTTAGCTAGCTGGCACTAACGGACATGACGGAGCTGTTTGTTCCACAACAAGCTGGGAGGGGAGGCTCTCCTGCTCAGACTGAAGAGGGTCAGGTGAGCTAAGGACTCTCTGAGGTTTAGATAGTTTAACTTTAGTCCTAAGTTATCTCAGTGGGTCTCAAACGGTTTTGGTCAAGAAGTTATTCAAAAGATTATTTCCGCGGCCACCTTCATAGTGATCATTAATAGTTATAAAAAAAATAAGAAGAATAAAGGAAAAACATTATAAATACTATATGGCAGTAAAACAGAATACAGTTTTGAAGGGGAGTGATTTGGTAAAATATCCCATAAAAGAAAAAGAACATCTGCCTTAACAGTTGTGTTTCATCTGGTGTTTTGGGAGAGATGTTCACATAATCTCTTAATGTTGCCCTCTCAAAGTGGCACCAGATTGATGCTTTTAACTTCAATATTTAAAAAAATCCTTCCCGGGGGAGCTCCCCCCCGGGACCCTTTTAGAGGGAGTGAGGTCCGCTCCCCCCACTCGTAAAAGTAGCACTTTACCCATGCCTAATATGCCGGTAGCGTGATTATCGAGCCCTTCATTGTAACAGCCGCGGGTTTACTGTGGTTGGTTGCGTGGTGGGAAGTCTTTTTGTGTGCGTGCCTCTATAGTGCCGTAATAGGGTTTACTGGGGTCCAGCACCGTCAGCACCCCCACTCAAAGATATTCCCGGCCTCTGGCCCTACCATCAATCTGCGTTGCCCCAACCACCCCTTGTACCACCCCGCCCAGCATCCTCCCTCCGGTGCCCCGGTGGGCCTCCCACTACAAGACGCTAACCCTTGCAGCCACATTCAACAGGTACTATTGGGCCACCAACCGCTCAAGACCAACAGACCCAGATGATTTGGGGTTATAAACCCAACCAGGTGAACTGGGGTCGTATCCAGGGAGGATTTGTTTATCAGGAAAGAAGCGCCTTTTGCCATTGCATGGTACAACAACAGAACCCATGACCTTTGAATATATTCGTTAAAGCAGACCCGCAGCCCTCTTTTTTCCACTGTAGACAGGTTTAAAGGTAAATTACGTCCTTCATCTGATGCGGGCTTTTACTGTCAGGTTTCTTGCCGACTGAGAACACGCATTTAATTAGACAAAGATAAAGTTACTGGCTGAAGGCATGCCATCAAAAAGAACATTTCATGTGGAGAGTTTGTGGAAGAGAGAGACAGATCATGCCGAGGAAACAAATAAGGGAATGAGTAACTTGGTGCCACACCAGATCAGCTTGGGCACGCGAAACGTTATACGTGTCAGCTGGTCGTTTGATATTATAGCCTTTTTTTAGCATTGTCAAACCAACTTCCCCTCACTCCAGAGGTGGACCCACAATTCACTCAAGCATGTCCGAGCCAGGCGTGGGGTCTTCTATCGACTGTTTGAGTATACGCTGCACAAAGATGCCAGGAGTTTGGCCAAAATAAATGTTCTTCCCCTGGTCTATGGGTGTAAACCGCGGGCAAGCCTTGGGACAAACATTCCCACTCTCCAGCAAATAACCCTGGGACCCGAGTTTAAAAGTAAGGCCTGGCCTATAGTAGGGCCCTATGTCAGAGCCCTAAAAAAATTGTTAGTTGGTTTTATGGAGAAATGTCCAGTGGGTAAGCAAGGTCGTGTACCTTACTCCCACCACATTTATTGTATCTTTAGTTACTGCCATATTTTGGATTAATTAATGTGAAATATAGGGAGGCGTGTGGTGCAGTGGGTTGTGCGTTGGTGTTGGGATCAGGGGGTCAAACCCACTGCAGTCAGCAAGTCGTTGTGTCCCTGGGCAAGACACTTCACCCCAAATTGCTCCTGTGGGGATTGCCCAGTATTGAGTATGTAAGTCGCTTTGGATAAAAGCTTCAAACAAGTGACATGTAATGTAATATACTTAACTATGTAGTATACAAAGCAATTGAAGCTGTATCTTTACCAGCTTTGATAACACTTGAATGCATCAATAATCATAATCAAAACATATCATATAGCCTACATTATTCTGAAATGGACCAATTTGCACAATAAGTATACTTTTACTTTTGGTACTTTAAGTATATTTTGATGATATTTTGACTAAATAAATGACATGACACGGGTTGAGAAAACCTGTTTTCTGAGTCATCATTGATTTACTTTATTTTCTAGCAAAAATACTGCTCCACAGTCCAGTAGGTGGCGGTAGTGCACTTAGTCGTTGGTTTCCAACCTCCAATCAATCTCTAAAAAGAAGAAGAAAATAAAATATTTTCCTTCAATGTAACCCGTGTTCATTCTCTCTCTGATAATAAACGGAGCCGTTTTACTTTAATACACTATTGGTTTCCACAGGTGTATATGCCATCCTATTCAAATAACCTAGCTAATAATTTAACCTTATTACGGTTATTTGGATACCACAGCATACGTGATTGTAGATCAATATTTGTATCTAATTTCGCTAACTGCTAGCTAGCTGACTGGGTAGCTAATAGCCTTGTGTTGAGGCTTTTCTACACCGAAGACAAACACATCAACTTCTACCTGTTTCAACCAAAAAGGCAAGGGCTGTTTTGCATTTCTCAGGTAATGAAGCAAGCTACTATTTAGAGTGTTTTGCTGTTAGCTGTGAACTAACTAAGTGAATTAGCTAGCTCGCTACATTAAGCTAGCACTGGCTGTAAGATACTTGTAAACAGAGGTGGAAGAAGTGCTCTTATCCTGTACTTTGAGTGAAAGTAGAAGTACAAGAGTGTAGGAATACTTTGTTACAAGTAAAAGTCCTGCAGTCAAGAAGTTACTCAAGTAAAAGTACAAGAGTGTTGACATCAATATATATACTTAAATGACCAAAAATGTACTCATTATTATTAAATCCAGGCTGAAGACTTATTTTTGCTTTGAATTAAACTATTCATATTTTACAGTGCACTCTAACTTGTATTATTCTCTATTTGCTTCTTCTATTCTATTAGCATTTTATAATGTGATTCTGTTGCTCTATGCTTAATGTTTTCCATTTTTTTCCAAAGCACTTTGAATTGCTTTGTGTTGAAATGTGCTCTATAAATAAACGTGCTTTGCCTTAAAGAGCTTCAAATCTTTACAGTACCAAATAAACACCAAACGGTACATGAAGGCGGTATCAAATCATCCAGAAGACTGTACAAACAAAGCTAATTTAAATCTTCCTCTTACAGAAATAATCATCGTTGTGGCTGAGAGAAGATGGAAGCTCCTCCTGTTACATCGATGCCTGTCACCGGGGGCGCCGTCAATATGATGGAGTATCTGCTGCAAGGTAAGCTAGCGTTAGAAACACCCACAGCTAAAGACTTTGTAGAAGTACAAAAGTAGCATAACATGGAAATACTCAAGTAAAGTACAAATATCTCAAAATGGTACTTAAGTACGGTATTCAAGTAAATGTATTTGGTTACTTCCCATCTCTGTTCATTTTACATAAGTTGAAGTACTATTACTAAGGTCCTAAAATACTCCACTACAAGTAGAATATCCTGATTACAAAATGTTAAAGCATCAAAATATACTTGTAAACAAATAGTAGAAGTACTCATTCTGCCCAATAGCCCATTTCAGAAAATTATGAAGTACATAATCTAATAAATGAATTTATAGTATCAACAGTAAAAGCACTTGTTATGCTGAATGGATCTTTTCTCAGTATTATATTATTATGGTCATTGTTTTGTCTTGTTTTTATACATTTAAGAGCATTTAAGTATTATAGTCTGTCAATGTGGACCATATTTAGAAACTTTAAATACTGTGTGGATTAGTAGTACAGTACTGCATTATACCATATCAGCATATCATATGTTTTATATGTAAAGAAGTAACGAGTACCTTTGAGTGTTAATAGAAATGTAGTGGAGTAAAAGTATGATGTTAGCCTCTGAATTGTAGAAGCATAAAGTAGCATACTTTCCACCACTGGTTTTACAACACTGCTTTGGTTATATGTGTGTTTTTAAAGGAATGAAAATAGAAATGGTAAATTTTTGCATTTAAGAAAACAGACACATTTATATGACTATAATACATAACAAATATTGTATGTGTGTTTTCCTATTACTGAGAACAGTTATGTGGCATTCAGACATGTGAGAAATTAAAGTTTAAAAACCAACACTAAGTGCCATTTTATGGATGTTTGTATTATATGTTATTTACTATATATATTGCAACAACAATGAATTGGTATATATCTGTTTCTCTAATCTTTATTAAAACAGGCAGTGTGTTAGACCAGGCCCTGGAAAGCCTCCTGCATCGCCTCCGCGGCCTGTCTGACAACATGGATCCCGAGACCTTTACAGATCACGAACTGGTTTACCTTCTGAAAGGCCAACAAGGGAACCCTTTCATTCTGCGTGCCCGGCGCTCCCTCTCCCACCCCACCTCCCCATGGCACCTACGCTACCTCGGCCAACCAGAAGTGGGAGACAAGAGCCGCCACGCACTGGTGCGCAACTGTGTCGACGTGGCCGCCTCTCACAGTCTGCCCGAGTTCCTCAACGAGATGGGCTTTCGCATGGACCACGAGTTTACGGCCAACGGACACATATTCCGCAAAGGTGTTATGAAAATTGTAGTTAGCAAGCTGTCACGCATCCTGGTACCGGGGAACACGGAGAACACAGAACGTCTATCGCTCTCATACCTGGTGGAGCTGAGTGTGCTGGCTCCAGCCGGACAGGACACCGTCTCAGAGGACATGCGCAGCTTTGCAGAGCAACTTAAACCTCTGGTGCACTTGGAGAAGATTGACCCCAGCAAACAGAGACACTGATGGGGAACATTAAGTCATCTCTAACTACCATGGACACATTTCTTTTTTATTTTTGTACTCAAATTAAATACATAAACTTTGATATAATGGTTACCCTTCTTGTCATTTTGTTGTGAACAAAATATTATTACTACAATCCATCATTTTCCACAACATTCTGGTCACAGACGTTTTGATATGGTTATCATATCACTAATTTGTGATTACTAATGCATGATTTTGGTTAAATGTTTAGGTAGTTTGTTTACATTTGAAGATGTGTTGTAGATCCCCAAAGTGGTTAAAAAATATAAAAAAGTGATATGTTTGGGAACAAATGTCATTAGTCAGAAAAATAACACCTACTGGACAAATGATAGTTATTTATTTAATAATGGTACATCTTTGACATAACATACAGTCTATAGAGAGGTACCTGACATTTTAATTTGTTTAAATGGTTAAAGTTCTTTAAGACATTATTTGATAAAAAAGAGAAAATAATGGGTTTATTTATCTCCATAAAGCACCTTTAACACATACCACATATATCAGCTTTGATTTATTGCTATGTTTAACCCTCATGTTTTTAAAATCACATGCTGACTAGCGTATTGTGAACACATTCATTATAACCCACTAGGGGTCTCTCTTGCTCTTTGTGTAACTGGCCATCTTTCCATCTGAACGCAACCTCAGATCATCTACAAGAGCCCTGGTTGCCATGGAAATAATTAGCTGTGAGATCTGCACATCTTTTCCCCCCACTCTAATTAGCTTTCTCAATTGCTTAATGATACATAGACCTGTAAAAACCTTCCTTTCTTCCCCCTGAACAAAAGCATTGATTTTCCCTCTCTTCCCCTCTCATTTCTACTGTTAACCCATTAGTGCCTCTTTCATGGGAACTTGAGCTGGGACTATTACACATGAAAGCACTACCGCTGCCTTCAGGTTCTCCTCTGCTCATGCTCCATTCCAAAATGGCTTGTACACCAGTGTGTAAACATTATGGCCAATCTGCTACAGACACTGATGTAACTAATGCACATCCTGTCAGTTATGATAATAATGTGGGCAATAAGACATGAGTGCTTCTAATAATACCTCAACAGGAAGATGCATTTGCAGCGGTTGCGATGTAAAGTGACCGTGTGCGTGTCTGAAGGGAGCGCTCGAGGGCAGGGTGCTGTCTCTACGTGTTGACCTACCTGCAAATCAAGGCTGAGGAGGACAAACTCGCTGAGGTGGAAAGGTGAGTTGACACTGCTTCCAAATACATTCCGTGCACCTTCATAACTTCCCTTTGGATTATTTGACATCCTTATATTGAAGGGGGATTCTTTGAAATGCTTGTGTTTGGGAAGAAGCTCATGTTGCACCACATTTTTATATTACACAAAAACTGCCCGTCAATGGAAGCCGATTATCTGATGGAGACAGTTTTATGTTCCAACTACCAGAAGCAGACTGGCCCTTAGGTCTAAAGCATGATGTTTTTAGCTCTGAGTGAATTATGTATTAAAGAAGAGGATGCCTCCTTGCCCAAGGCTTTATATGTCCAGCATGGGTACACTACAGTCTGCTGGCTTTCTTCCACTTAAACTTGTGTTTAGCACAGTGGTCTTTGGTGATGAGCTGGACTCCCACTGCACCTCCACTCCATCGCCTGGAGAACAGAGGCAACGCTAGGCTAATCAGAGTCTTGGCATCAGGCCTTCTTGGCTATTGTGGATGTAGCCAACCACTGACTTCCACAAGTGAGGGATTTGACTTGTTGCTCGGGGCATAATGCTATATTCTGCATGGTTTATTTTAAAGAAACTGAGACAAGTGTGAGAGTATTTTGACGCATATAGGCGAAAAATCTTGATATGAATATGGAGTCACAAGGGGTTAGAGTTACAGTATGTGACTGATCATGAAACGGATTACTTTTCGTTCAGGGATTGTTCGGAGAGAGATGTGTTGAGTGTAGAATCTTACGGTCATTGCTGTTTTGAATTCTAGTCGTCTAAAGCATTTCTATCTAATACAAATCTATATAATGGGGCTGACAATGAATCACATTTTTATAAAAAAAAACTCTTTAGGGAGTAGTCAATTGCAACTCGTACAGATCAAATATGTTAAATACCAATTTGTATGATGTATTGTGGCGCTTCAGAGATATCCGGCATAATAATCATATTCTACATACTTCACCTAACTTGCGTGTTTCATACAGATCCATTTGAAAAATCCAGTACAACTGTATTGTACTAGTCTCTTCCATGTTTTTCACACTAGCCAATACCGTGATTTGTATTGAATGGGTTGGGATTGTGTTGTATCATCAGCACTGTCCACTCACCTTTACTCTCTTTTAAGCAACTCTGACATTCAGTTTATTATAATGCAATTATGCTCGCTGCACTTTTAAGTGTGAGAGCAGTGCACATTGATTTTCCTCTTTGGGCAATTCAGTCGTTCTGGCTCTTTAACTATTAAATAAAAATTAATTGTCTACAGCAGATAGTGGTTGTTAATTATATTTTGTTAGACCTCTGAAATGGGGAGAAGTGCCATTACCTGCACATGCCTGTACTTTCCATTCCATAACACAGTCCTAATTAAAACTCTTGGCACCAATATTGTCTTTGATGCCTCTAAACATAATGCTCATAGTTGGCAGCACTCGTGCCAAGATGCCACAGAAAGCTAGCTCTCGCTCGGGGCAGGAAGTCCTTAAGTCATCCCACTTTGGGCCGCTGCCACCAAGGGTTGAAATCCAGCTTGGTTCACTCAGGAACGTCCCCGATACTTGGATTTGAGCCCTCTCCTTCATGTGTCATTGGGAGTCCATATGCTTGTTAGACAGTGTGGGTTGTTTGCTGAGAGGGGAGGACAACCAGGGGGAAGTGTTTTCCCAAACAGGCATCGTTCTCCCAAGGGTGTTCTTGTGGCTTCTCCAGCTTCCTCTCGTCCTAATCCCCCTAGGGACGATGGTTGCAGGGAAACATTGCACAACATCATGAGGTTGTGGGGGATGTCTGGAGTGACGGGGGGCCAAGGATAGAGGATGGTCCTTGCTAAATAAACGTATCCGAGACGTTTTTCCGGGTACGGGCACAGAACTCTGCCTTGTTGTTGATGTGGTGCTCTGCATTGCTTGTGGCTGGCAGAGGTGATTACTGCTGTGCAGAACATGCTGTTCCAGGATCAGCCAATCGGCCTGAAGCCAGCCAGGCTGCCTCTGGAATGTCTGGTATGGGGACGGTGTAGCAGTCCGCCTGGAGGGGACCGAACACATATGTAGTTTTTAAAGCTGTCTGGGCCTCCCTCCTCTCTGTCCTTCTGAGTTCCTCTGAGTCTTGTTTTGAAATCCTAGTTCTGCTTTCAGCCTCTAAATCTGATCTTTTGTCTTCACAACTACTTTTCTTTCACTTTGTGTGTAATCAAGATGCATTGTGTGGTCCTTTGTCAACAAATCTGTCCCTTTGTGTTAGAGACTCAAGGATATATTTGTGACGTACAGTGAGGTACATGATACAATTTGTTTCTCGTTAATCAAAATGATAGTTGCAATAGGGCTTGAAGACACAGACAAACTATTAGCAACATGACATTTTACCCATCTGATCCCACTGTGTCATTTTCTATGACACACTATGACACATCCTCCCGCATTTAAAAGCGTGCTATTTTGAAAACACATTTCTCAACATCAGTCATGTCTGAGTGCACGCAGTTGTGGCTATGTTGTGCAACTTTTAAGTACAGCTTCCGTCCATGCAGTCTTTACACAGAGAGGGCGGGGTCCTCAGGTAATTTTGACTACCTTGCTGCAAAGGTGCTTGTTTTGATGGTGCTCATGAACTGTGCATGTGTGCCTCTAAAAATATTAGATTGTAGTCAAATATGTTGAGAACAGTCATTTCTTTATTGTCTGACTGCACAGAATGAATTTCAATGTATTCAGCTGTTGAATATTTTCACTGCAGTCATACCAACATGTCCCCATAGGTCATACTACCCAGAGGTGGTTCAAATGCCTGTATGGAGCGGTAGCCTATAACTTCCAAATGTTATCAGAAAGTGTAGCTCTGTGTGCATTGTTTACTAGAGGTCCATGAATAAGTAATAATATCCCCGCAGCAACCATCAAAATAACAGGTGTGAATGTGCATACAAATGTGAAGCAGACTGTTGCTGTAAGTGAGCTCAGCAAATCTCCTGCATGAACGTGAAAAGTGAGGGGCAGTGTAAGGCTTCCATCCTCATTTTTGTTTTACAGAAAAAAAATCTCGGCATGTACTAGGGAAATAAAGAGCCAATGGGATTCGAGCACCTGTGACAGTGTGCCCGCCCTGCTGTCAGTTTTGGGGAGAGGGTGGGATGGAGAGCGGAATCCCCCTCGGTCAGTTTTGAGCACATGGGTCAGAGGAGGGTGTCTCTGGCGTCGAGGCTTGGCAAATGCGATTTGGGATGTGCAAGTGTTTTACGCCTCCCCACTTTGGCTTGAGTGTGGACCCGAGATGATCTTTCAATCTGGCCTCTGAAGACCTCCATTTCACCTCACTCCTCTCAGATTAAAATCTAGAGTTACCTAATCTCTCGTAATCTGAACTAAATCTGTCTAATCGGCAATAGGAAATGATACCGGCTAAGGTATTGCCCACAGCCCACACATAATCAGCAGTGAAACCTGCTGCGCGGGGTGAGTTCTCCCTGGAGGACATTTGGACGCTGCGCACGTTGCCCGGGACAATTTGTTACGCACAAAGGCAGATCAGACGGTGTATTTGTTTAAAGACAAAAAAAAACATTGTCAAGTTTATGTAAGAATTTCCCCTTTGTGTCATTTTCACATTGCCTTGTTTTATCTCCGCTGGACTTAAGGCTGGCACACAAAGCGCCGGGTGACGCTCTGCCAGAAAGATCATCATGCAGAGTTTTGATTAAGAATTTGAGGTTTGCTCTCTCGGTTCATATCAGAGATTGTGGAGAGGGAGGGGGGAGTAGAGCTACAGAGAGAGAGAGGGAAAGAGGACTTCGGGATTTCGCTGTGATCATGTTCGGAGAGTATTGATTTCGTGAGCGCACTCCAATTGGCAGCATCTCCACTACAGCGCCGGCGCGTCATCCTCGG